GGAAGCTGGTCTTGTCTTTCTCTGGCTCCTAGCACATACATGCCATTGTCTAGATATGCGGATTGAGGAAGAGAGAAAGGTCAAGGATGACTCTCTAACTGAAAGCACCTGTGGACTAGAAGGTTGGTAGTGTCATTAATAAAAACAGGGAAGCTTAGGGGAAAATTCCATTTTGGTTATGTTAAATGCTTATGGGACATTCAGGAAAAGATATCTGCCAGACAGTTGGCAATACAGAACTGGAATTCAAGAAAGAAATGACGGTGGGATATACAGACTTGGGAGTCCTCTATAAAGAAGCTCTAGTACAGCTCAGGTCAATACCTGAGCTTAGCTAAGATGAACCATTTACTCTTTGAAAAGATGTTATCAGTTGCCCAAGATAAGGCTCTGTGCTATACTAGTGTGAAGGTAGGTAATGATAAATCAATAATTAGTGTAGGTAATATATGTTGTTATGACTACTGATAAAGTACAAGTTATATGCTAGTTTATTCATTAATTTCTCCTCCTTTTATATGCCTTACTACTATTGACATTTCTACCTGTAGCTTAAAGCATTAAAAAAAATGTATTTCAAAAGTGCCTTTCCTATAATTTTGAAACCTTTTCTGTTTAACTCAATCACACATGAAGAGATATTACTGACCTCAAAGCTCATATAAACTGAAAAAAAAAAAGTCCATTAAGCCAGTTAGAAAGAGTTTTGATCCCTCAGACAAGGAATTATTGAACAACTTGATTATAAAATAATGTGGAATCATCCTCCCTTAAGATCTCTGAAAACACGATAACCATGTGCCAAATGGTACAATAATAGGACACTACACTAGGAGGCAGTAGACACAAGTTCTCGTTGCTGTGAAACAACCCTGAGTCATAACATCTCAGTTGCCTCATGTGCAAAAATGTTGGACTAAAAGATCTCCAAGGTCCCTTCTGCCTCTGACACTGCAGGAATCTATCGGGAAACCAAGAGGATAGACTAGGAGACCTCTGGAACTTTCACTGGCTACACGACTTAGTAGTTCTATCACCAGGAATAGTCTTGCTTCTTTATTTCATGGGACTATTCCTCCATTTGGTCACAATTCAGATCTGACAGCAGAGTTTGGGGCACATACTGAGCACTTACTAGATAATGGCTGACTGTCAGTCTAGATACAGGGGAGGGGAACCTGTGGCCATGAGGCTACATGTGGCCTTCTAGGTCCTTGGATGCGGCCTTTTGACTGAGTCCAAGTTTTACAGAACAAGTCCTTTTATTAAAGGGATTTGTTCTGTGAAGTTTAGATTCAGTCAAAGGGCCCTAGACCACATGTGGCCTCAAGGCTGCAGGTTCCCCACTTCTGGTCTGGAATATTCAGTAGTACTAGCCATTTATTAACAGTAAAACATATTAATTAAGTTGAAAAAAAGACAGTTCATAAAATAAATACAGATACCAGTCCATGTCACTGACTTAAAGAGAAATGGACTAAATTGATACATGACTCATCTGACCCCAGCCCCCACATCAGTCACCTTGCAAAGCCTTGAAGCCTTGGAGAGGAACCCGTGTTGAACCGGTCACGAACTGCAACAACCTGGCTCTCCTTTCTTCATCAAACGTTTCTACTGCTTGCCAGAACCACTTTACAATATTGCTATCTGCCATGCAGTGCTTGAGACGGGTATTTGACTTCCAATCATTCAGGTCTATTTTATCCAGGCCTCCTATTATGAGCTGTGAAGGTGTTAGAAGAGAATTACTTCAAAGAGCTAAGAGTTTAGGCCCAGTACTCCCATCCTCTATGCCACCTAGCTCCCCTTGACTACACGTACTTGTTACAAAGAGAGGGTTTTTATTTCTGGTGGAGAGGAGTGTGAGAATGTGAGTGTGAGTGTGAGTGTGTGTGTGTGTATACACACTGGCTGTAACAAGGGAGGAAGGAAAGAAGGAAGGGAAGGAGAAATGGAAAGTGGAAGGGAGAAAGGGAACTGCCCTTCTCAACTGCTGATCTGAGCAGTTGATCTGAGATCATTGTAAAGCTAACAAAGGCACTGGGCAAAGGTGAACAGATTGACTTTGAGATGCCTATGGAACATCAAGGCCCAAAAGAAGCATAGGTGTTATACCGATTTGATTCAATCAAAACAAAGAAGATAATGAACCCCCAACCCAGTCCTATAGGCTCTTTAATGCCATGACTTGGCCTACCATTCTGACTAGAGATAATGTGCATACCTCCAGCTCCTTCTGGTCAAAAGGCTTTAGTAAGTGTTGGGGGATGAGCTCATTAAATCCTTTTTGAAGTGCTAGGAACTGAGCTTCGATTCCTCTCATAAACCTCCAATTTACATACAACCTGAAATAGAAAAAGCCCCAAGTAAGAAGGAGTGCGAAACAGTATAGGAAGGAATGATTTTTTCCTCCATTGATAGTTAAAGAAATCTTGACATGTGATGTCAGAACTGATAAAAGTAAGCATTGTAGGTAGACACACTGTAAGCCTCCCCAAATCCCCCTCCCCCCAAAAAGTTTAGTAATAACTAGCTGAACTGTCAAATTTCAATTATATCAACTCACACCTACACATTTCCAACTGCTTAGGTAGAACTGGACTACTAGAAAATAATCTGGTCTTAACAGTGATTGCTACAGTTCTGCCCTGACACTTCCAAGTTAATTTATACAAAAATATAACTTAGAACCAAGAGAAAAATATGCAGTCATTCTACAGCTTAAGAAAAGAGAAATAATCTTTTAAAAATATTTCCCTAAATCCCTCCAAAATGACAGGTGTTTATATGATGATTTACCTTGAGTAAGAGGTAGAAAAACAGGCTGCAAAAGAGATTAGAGTCCAGCAGAGCGTGTGGTTCTTTGCCTTGTGTCATTCTCTACTAACCTGCCTGTGACTGAGGGGGTCACTGTCACAATGGAAACTGTAATGTGGCTGTGGTAAGTGAAGCTACCCCCTGGGAAGTCTGCCTGCCAGCTAGGACACAGCAATCTATCCCATCCTCCCCACCTGTGCACTAACAACCAGCCACTTATAAAGCTTGTTCCCCTATAGCACAGGGCCATCACTTCCCTCTCCCTGGGGCACAGATGAAGTGGCTTTGTTCACTTTAGAGCCTTGCTGGACAGGGCTATCACAGTCAGCAACCACAGGGAGCTGGATCCCAGAACCTCTTGAGGTCTCTTCCAGTGAACGTGACTCTATGGAAACAGGAGTATAAGGGGCAGTCAGCCCTCAGCTAGAGTCTTGGTTTGTTCCGTGACACTGTAAGCTTTTTCAGGGCAGGGACCAAGGCTAATCTGAACTTTCTAAACAGGGAATCATACAGTTTTGTGCACCCTTTAGGTGCCCAACATATATTTGTTGCTGCTGCGGATGATCCTGTGGGTATTACCGGACATATTCTTTCTTGTTCTCCTCTGTAACAGGAACATTTCTACCATTTGGTTTGAGCTCATGTTGAAGAATCCGTCCAAAAGCATTATGTTCTACGCAGAAAGTGTGATCCAACACAGGAGTGATGTCATTCTCTCTGTCAAAGTCAAAAGTACATGTTAATCAGGTCTTTACCACTATAAAACATAACTGTAGATGGCGGAATTAGGAAGAAAAGGAGAAAACAACCTTGCTTACGGAGCAAGTGTGCAGAGCAGTATGAAGTGCTAGAACAGGAAAGAATTGGTACTTGTCTCTCATGGAGTTTAACCTCACTGGGGAAACAGAATACCCACAAGGTAGTGCGGTATTGTGGAAAGAACAACAGACAAGGGGATCGGGAGGTCTGAGTTCTATGGCAGATCCAATATTAGCCAGCTATGTAACCTGAGTAGGTTACAATCTCGTTGGGTTTCAATTGTCATCCATAAAAAGTTAGGTAGATCATCTTTAATGTCCATCCCGGCTCTGAAAATCTACATGATTCTAGCACAACCTAAGTGCTTAAGTGCTGAGGAGGTGGTGCGGGAATGGAGTCAAGAGGGGACGCTACATTGTGAAAGCAAATATTTTAATGCTGCTTCTTAGCCAAAGAAATGCACTTTTAAGCAACAGACCGTTCAGATTTGCCAGGCTAAACTGAAAAGTCTTTAATGGTACAGTTAGAACTTGATTTTTTTATTTACTGTATTTAGTATAGTGTGCTAAAATGTAAACTGCAGAGAAGATGGAACCCTTCCAATAATATGCTTTCCTTCCTATTTCCTTACTGCAACTACAGTTCAAATGGAAAACTATGAAATGAGACATGCCCTTGTATAGGGCTGATCCATTAATGAGTTAATGATTCCCGTCCAACTCATTTGCTATTCATCCCAATTACACAAATACTCAATCACTAGTGCTGAAGCTAGGGACTCTCCTATTCTACGAAACATACTCATTCTTCAAAGTGTGTAGCTCTCAACATTTTGCGGGTATCATCTAAATCACTGGGGAGCATATGTCAGAGTAAAGCAGAAAATAAAAATTAAATTTTGTTTTGAGAACTTCATAAGTCTTACTGAACTAACAGTTGCTCACGTTTATATATTGCTTTAGGATTTACAAAGTGCTTTCCTCACGACAACACTATGAAGTAGTCAGTGCAAGTATTATCATTCACATTTTATAGCTGAGGGCCTCAGAGAAGTTAAGTCAGTAGAGCTCATGGATCCATGGTTGGTAAGGGCTAGAGCTGGGATTCAAACTGACAGTTACTGACTCTGAGCCCACTGCTCTTTATACTATATCACTCTGGTAACTGGATATATACCATGGCATTGCAAACTTAAGGTTAGGGTTCATTAATCATTGTGGTTTAAACTCAATAAATCAACAGAAAGGAGAAGTTGGACTATAAACTAGAAAAATCTGATCAAATACCAGCAAATGTATTTAACTATTAAGTGGTTAGGCTAAATGTTTTTTCTTTTATAAATGTAATCGATTACACGTCTCTTTTTACTCTCCTCCACACTTACTATTCCTGTTTCTCTTTTCTCTTACATGCCACGTCAGGGATAAAAGAAATTAACAGAATCATGAGCTACCTGTTTCCATTAAGAAGAGAACCTTAGACTTAAAGAGTCTGCAAATACACAATACTTACAGAATCCAAACTAAGCTCTTGTGTAGCTCTGGGTCAACTGATTCCAAATCTGAGAGCTGAATGGGCTTCCCCAGCAGCTGTTTGTAGAAAGGAACTGTGAAACCTCCATTGATGTAGTGTCCGTGGAACACTGCCAGACCCATTATCCGACCGACAAAGTGAAAATAAGACAAATGATCCTGCAGGGGACGACACCAAAGAGCAAGAATTGATAAGAAGAGTGACTAGCTAAATACTGACATCTTGTGGTTTGCTGTCTTTATGCTAACAAGAAGGCAGGGCTGCCCATAAAAATAAAAAAAAATCAAAATTTTCCTAAATGTGCAAATATAAGAAAGCTATGGAGAACAATGAAGCATATATTTTAAAATTATATTTTGGAAAGATTCTCCCTGACATAATTACTCTTTTCCTGATTTTCCTTATGTGTTTGTAGGGAGAGGAGAAGTGAGAAAATTAATCATAGGAAAAAAAGTCTCAAATCCTTATTTAGTAAGCCCTTATCTATCAATAAGAATAAGATAGTGAAAAAAATAACCTTAAATGACCCAAAACTTTCAACAAATTCCTTTTAACTAGAGAAACCAATTTTTGGTTTAGATTTTGGATACTTCAGGCAATTCATTATGATCACTTGGAGTCCTGTCAATGGAAGGTTGTAAAGCTCAAGTAAAACCTTGATGCAGGAGAAGAGAGAAGTAGCTCAGTAGACAGAGGCATGGCCTTGGAGTTAGGAGGACCTGAGTTCAAATCCGGCCTCAGACACTTGACATTTACTAGCTGTGTGACTCTGGGCAAGTCACTTAACCCCAATTACCTCTTCAAAAAACAAAAACAAAAAACTTGACTTAAAATGAGAGGTGTATTGCTCTACAATAACCACCCACGATATCCAAAGATCACAAGTACTTATGGGCAACAAGTATAGGAATATATATATGTGTGTGTGTGTGTGTGTGTGTGTGTGTGTGTGTGTGTGTGTGTGTGTGTGTGTGTGTGTGTGTGTGTGTATGTATGTATGTATGTATGTATGTATGTATCTTTTTTGGTTGGAATAACAAAGTCCAGCACTTACGAACCTAGAAAAAATAACTTCTTTGATGAATAAAATATTTATTAGCCATAACCCTCTCAAATGGTCACAAAGAATGTTTATTTACCGTTCTATGCAAAAATAAATCACTGCAAATTGTGTTTACTAAAAACCTCAGGAGCACAAAATGATCCAGGTCTCTGAGCTCAAACTAGTCCTCACTTAAACTTCCAATGCTCTTTTACTTAACATGACCTTTGAGCAAGTTATTTATTGACTAAATTCAAAATTTAATTGGATGGTAAGAGTCAGCTTAAAAAAAATCCTGCTAATTAAACTGATCAGCATTATGTTTATGAATACTTACAGGGTTGATTGAAGAGTCTGGATTTATTTGCAGCATGTAAATATTATCTGTAGAATACTGGAAGAGTCCATAATATGGATTCAGCATTTCATGGCACAGTAAATAGAGCCACTCCCTAGGGATAAAACAGTACTTCATTCTACAATGGAACATCTTCATCTTTGAAAGGCATTTATCTAAAAGTAACCATTCCTAATAGAATTCAACCTGCCATCAACCATGCACACAAAAGTCAAACATCCATGTTAATAAGAAAGAAGAGTCAGAACAGAAATTATTACCTCAGAACAGAAAACAAACAAAATTTTTTACCTCAACAGCTCAGTATTTACTAGACCTATCGATTGATAACAACACTGGGTATTCTGTGGGTGTGGGTGGGAGGGAGGCCAGAGGAGGATGAGAGCAGGGGAAGATACAAAGCAAACAGCAGAAACAGATACTGCCTTCAATAAACTTTCTCAAAGAAGAGAATTCAATGACCTCACATGGGCTGGATAATTTAGACCTATCCACATGGATTTAATGAAACTAAGACAAAAGATAACTGTCAAATTCATTTAAAAATTTTTAAATAGTTGGAAGTGCCTGAGTGTTTTAATTCATGTGATTGATACTTCATGTTTTTATATAGTTTAAGGATTTTAAAACAATTCTTTTTCTGTAAAATGAAACTGTTCAGGCATTGTGTTTACTTTAAAAGGATTTGGTAGATACAACATGAGGACATTTTGAAATTCAATAAGCAAAGCACTATGTGGTAGGGGAGATAGGAGGATAAATAAGAGTCCCTGCCTTTAAAGAGGTAACAATCTACTCTGGAGCTACAGAATCAACATGAAACATCATACTACAAAATGGAGAAGCAGCCTGGTGCCGTGCAATAAAAGGCTGGCCAGGAACATCTGAGTTCAAAATCCTGCCTCTGACACAAACTGGCTATGTGATCATGGGAAAGTCATTTAACTCTCCAGACAGAATCGTAAACAACTGCTGAAGGCTACGCTTTAAATAAGTGTTGCCATCTGTATCAGTAGAGAGAGTTCCCTACATTGATGAAACCGGTAATCTGAACTCCTTGCCTCCCCCACTAAATTGAAAGTCAGTCATGACAAGTGTTGGAGAAGCAATAAATTAAGTACTATACAATACAGAGAAAGATCACTTATGATTGAGGTGGAAAAGTTGGCAGCTGAACTAGAGCCTGAAGGAAGAAAAGGATTTCAGTTAAGTAGAGGCAGCCACTTCAGTCTCAGGTGAGGGGGGGAAGGGCGACCACACGGCTCCCTTTCTTGCTGTGTGTGCCTTAAGAAGAGGCTTGGCAGCAGGACAGTTTTCATCTGCCCCAAAGCAACTTTCCTCAGCACCAGATGTCCACCCACCCAGCCCACCTGGCTTCCAGACTTAGAAGAGGAAAGAGACCTTCCTCTGACCATGAATCTACCATTTCCATACAAAGAGGAGCAACCTTCCCTTTGACCTCAGGTCTTCCATCTCCTGCTCCTTCTGTCCTTTGAGGATAGAAGGGTAAAGTCTACTCTCTAATAGAGAGTAAAGTCTCTCCATGAACTGATGCTGAATGAAGTGAGCAGAATCAGGAGAACATTGTACGCAGTAACAGCGACATTGTGCAATAAGCAACTATGATCAACTTGGCTCTTCTCAGCAATGCAAGGATCTAAGACAATTCCAAAAGATTCACGATGGAAAATGATACCTCCATCTAGAGAAAGAACTACGGAGTCTAAACGCTGATCGAAATACACCATTCTGACTTTCTTGGTTTTTTCCTTCTTGTGGTTTTTCCCTTTGGTTCCAATTCTCCTTTCACAACATGACTTAGGTGGAGATATGTTGGCATATGATGGCACAACTATAACCTATATCAGACTGCTTGCTGTCTTGGGGAGGGGAAATGGGAGGGAAGGACGGTGAAAAATTTGGAACTCAAAATCTTATAAAAAATGAATGTTGAAAACTATCTTTACATGTAATTGGAAAAAATAAACTACTATTTACAAATATTAAAAAAAAAAGAGAGGAAAGTCTGGGGGGCGGAGAGTGGGACTTCTCCTGCTGTGCAGGTCTGACTCCCATCTTGCTGTGCCACCTTAGAGGGAAGAGGAGTATTGAAATAGGGCCTCCCACCTGACCATATGCCTTCCACCTCACGCTGCACTTGTCTCCAGACTGAGGAACGGAGCCTTCTACTCAGTGATAATAAATATTCTCACACATGGTGATATCCTATCCATCCCAATGATTCTGAATTCCTGTAGGTCATCATTCAAACTCCATTCTTCAGCTGCTGACTGATTCCTTATTCTCATTCCCCCTCAACCCTCCCACCCCAAAATTCAAACACACGTTACCCACTCTTTCCAGTGTGCTCTCTGGAATGTGGGTTCCATAGGCAACAAACCTCCTTTCATCCTAAATCTTTTTCTCTCCCACTCTTATCTACCAGCCAGACTGAAACATCCCTCCCCACTGATGACTCCCTGGCTGCACCTTCTTCATTCCCCTCACATCACTTGTCAAGGCAGGGAGCTGAAACTCTCCTTACTCCTATGGCCACTTCGAGGTTCTTTTCCTACCTCCATCACTTGGTAAACTCTCCTCCTATAAAGCTATTCATTTACCACCCACTCAAAAACCTGGCAGCTGTTGTCTACACACCTACAGGTCAATCCATTCCTTCTTCCTGGCTCACAATTCTTCTCTCTTCTCCAATGCCCTACCCTCACACTAGGGGATTTCAACATACATACTAACTCTCCCTCAAACACCCTAACGTCTCAGAGTAGTTAAAACACTCAGTTAGTGGTTAAAACACTTTAACAACTCTACCTACTCAATTCCCATGACCTATTCCTTCACCCCGCCTTGGCCCCACACAAAAATGGTCTAATCTTGCTGTCACCTACAACTACCACCTCCACATTAAACAATTCTGAAATCTCCTTACCTGACCATAATCTATTGGCTTCTCATCTTTCCCTCTGCCTTCCCTGACAAAAACCTAACTTTTTGTCTGTATCATGACCTTCAATCCCTAGCTACTCTCTCCTGCTTCCCCCCATCTTGACCCCTTCCTGAGTGAATTCAACTCTACAATGTCCTCTTGAGTCCCTAGCCTCCTTATCATTTCAATGATAGCACTCTGTCAAGCCAGAGTCTCATCTCCAATTACACATATGCCTTCTGCCATTCTCTTCTTCACCCTTATCTTATGGGAAGAGATGGCTTTATTTACTCCTCACCAAAGCAAACCCTCCTACCTGAACAAATAATCCCATTCTATCCTGTCTCCTCCAACAAATTACTTCCTCTGCCTTCCCCATTCTAACACTTATTTTCGATCTCTCCCTGACTACAGGCTCTTTTCCTACTGCCTACAAACATGTTCTTCTCTTCCCGATCCTCAAAAAACCCTCACTTGATCCTTCCATTCTAGCTAACTATCATCCTATATGCCTTTTGTGGCCAAACTCCCTGAAAAGGCCATCTACAATAGGTGCCTCCACTTTCTCCTTAACCCCTCACAATCTGGCTTCTGACCTCATCATTATACTGAAACTGCTT